GAGGGTAGAGATTTTTTTGCTTTAATAGAACAGGGCTAGAACACAGTAGGTGTTCAGTTAATACTGTAAAACAAAAGGTTGAAAGAACATGAAAGGGCCTGTCCAAAGTTGGGAGCAACTCATACAAACAACATGCTGAGTTTGGTACTTATCAGTGGGAGAGACATCATGACTTTCAGCCCACACTGGGATCATTACAATGTTCTGAGATAGAAAGAAACCACAGGGCTTATCACAGGAAATCTAATGAGAAGAGTCGCCTTATTTTACATTTTTGTTAATCTTTTAAAGTCTAGGTTAAGGAAAACAGCTATATTCTCCTATCTGCTTATGCGTTCAGTCAATTGTACATTATGTAGCCTCTGGAAAACTTCATTGCACACTTGTAAAAGAATGAGGGTAGAAATTCTAGAATTGTTAGGAAAATTGTTTTAACTTCATCAGCCCCTGAAAGGTTCTTGAGGGGGCCCTAGACCACCCTTTAAGACATTGTTTTAAAAGATATGTACAATAAGAGCCATAACTTTCATCAATATTCAGAAGAGATTCTCAAACAAGGGAAAGGGGTAAAAAAAGATGGAGAGAAAAAGAGGAAAACATCACTGACTACCTGCAACCATACTCACAGGAGGGCCAAGACATTTTATTAGTGTACTTGTTGTTACTTTAACTGTCACTTACTCTGTACTTCACCATATTTTAACAAGAAATGAATTGCTATTTGAAGAAAAGTCAGACCCCAGAACAAAAACCACATACAACACTTCCTCATAGTTCCTATATAAATGTCAATTGCTAATGCACATTCACTCTTTAGGCCATCACATTCTAATTATATGACCTGTAAGTCACCTTTCTCCTGGCTTTTCATCTCCTGTACAACTTTCTGCTGTCACTCAAATATTATTTAACAGGATGAAAGAGCCAATTTCCAATTATCAATCAGTTCCAAACTGCTGCGCAGTTCAATCTTTCTGTCTGCATGTTTCTATGAATAGCAGCTAAATGGCAATCTACAAATCAACTCTAATCCCTTCTAAACATATGTTGTTCTTTAGTTAGGTAATTTCTATCTACTATAAATGATTCATAATGAAGCAAAACAGCAATATTCATTTAAGCACGGTCAAGAAAAATAATTATTTATGAATAATCATCTCATATCATTTTTCCCATACTTAAAATACAAGATTTCAAATTTTCCTTCACACAGGCAAACAAAACCCAATAGTTACGGTGACTTTTTCAGGAGATATTTGGTTTTTATGTCTTATTTAAATTCTCACAACCATAGTAAACCTTATAAGAGTTATTAACTAGGCCAGCACTCCCTGGTCAATAGCATAGGCCTAGGTTTAAATCCTGAAGCTGCCACTTGCAATGTGACTTTGGGCAAATTACTCAATCTGCACCTCACTTTTCTCAGCTTTAAGATGAAGACAATAACAGTATCTACCTTATAAGTGACAGGATTAAATGAGATAATAAATAAATGAGTAAGGCACTTAAAACATTGTCTGACACACAATACATACTAGTAAATGTTAACTTCCGTTTTTATTTATTTATTTATTTTTTATTTTATTTTATTTTTGGAGACGGAGTCTCTCGCTGTTGCCAGGCTGGAGTGCCATGGTGCGATCTTGGCTCACTGCAACCTCCACCTCTCGGGTTCAAGAAATTCTCCTGCTTCAGCCTCCTGAGTAGCTGGGATTACAGGCGTGTGCCACCACATCCATCTAATTTTTGTATTTTTAGTAGAGATGGGGTTTCACCATGTTGGTCAGGCTGATCTTGAACTCCTGACCTCAGGTGATCTACCTGCCTCGGCCTCCCAAAGTGCTGGGATTACAGGCGTGAGCGACCATGCCTGGCCTGTTTCTATTCCTAGTCTTTTTTTTTTTTTTTTTTTTAATTTTAACACTGAGATAACAGGAAACAATAAAAATAGATTACTGTTTCTAAGTGTTCTTCCTTCTTAAAATAGTTAATTGTCTATACCACCTAAGAAAGTGCTGACAAGCCATACAAACAGTATCAGAAATATGTTCAAAACTACTATGATTCTAGCCCAGGTACAGTGGTGAGCACCTATAGTCCCAGCTACTCAGGAGGCTCAGAAAGGTGGATCACTTGAGTCTAGGAGTTAAAGGCCAGCTGGGTAGTACAGCAAGACTCTGTCTCTTTAAATTAAATAAAAAATAAAATAACTACTATGATCCTGTGTGTAAAAAGGAAAAAAAAAAAAAAAACTTCAGGCTGGATGCAGTAGCTCATGCCTGTAATCCCAGCACTTCGGGAGGCCGAGGTAGGATCACTTGAGGCCAGGAGTTCAAGACCAGCCTGGCCAACATAGCGAGATTCCATCTCTACTAAAAATACAAAAATTAGCTGGGCACGGTGGCACACACCTATAATCCCAGCTAGTCAGGAGGCTGAGGCACAAGAATTGCTTAAACCTGGGAGGTGGAAGTTGCAGTGAACCAAGTCTGCACCACTGCATACCAGTCTGGGAAAGAGAGGAAGATTATCTCAAAAAAAAAATAGAGGCCGGGTGTGGTGGCTCACGCCTGTAATCCCAGCACTTTGGGAGGCCGAGACAGGCAGATCACGAGGTCAGGAGAGCGAGACCATCCTGGCTAACACGGTGAAACGCCGTCTCTACTAAAAATACAGAAACAAAATTAGCCTGGTGTGGTGGCGGGTGCCTGTAGTCCCAGCTACTTGGGAGGCTGAGGCAGGAGAATGTCGTGAACCCGGGAGGTGTAGGTTGCAGTGAGCTGAGATCGCGCCACTGCACTCCAGCCTGGGCTACAGAGCAAGACTCCATCTCAAAAAAAAAAAAAAAAAAAGAAAGAAAAGAAAAAAAACTCAAGAAGGCACATCCTTCAAAATAGATTGACAGAAACACAACACAGCATTTGACATAGCTATCTAGAAACAAGAGAATTGTGTATCCTGCTTTACAAGACACCTTTACAGGCAAGATGAACCTATGTTAGCCTGAAGATAGTTGTTTATTTATATATAAATATCTTTTTTTTTTTTCTTTTTTTGAGACGAAGTCTCGCTCTGCCGCCCAGGCTGGAGTACAGTGGCCGGATCTCAGCTCACTGCAAACTCCGCCTTCCGGGTTCACGCCATTCTCCTGCCTCAGCCTCCGGAGTAGCTGGGACTACAGGCGCCCGCCACCTCGCCCGGCTAGTTTTTTGTATTTTTAGTAGAGACGGGGTTTCACTGTGTTAGCCAGGATGGTCTTGATCTCCTGACCTCGTGATCTACCTGTCTCGGCCTCCCAAAGTGCTAGGATTAAAGGCTGAGCCACCGCGCCTGGCCTATAAATATCATATACACCATAAGATATACAGTAAAAGGCAAAGGTATAGAACTTTATTCTCACACATAGTCTAGCAGCATACTTAGAGATGAAGTCAAAAAGAAAATTTTTCATGAAAAAAACTAAAAAGCTTTTGCCACCATGTTTAACCTTATCTGAGATGGTTTAACTCTTAGAATGTATCAGAGAAAAATTTATGTGTGGATGGTTGGTACATAAAAATGCTAATTGGGATACATATGAGAATCATAGTTAACATTTACTAAACACTTACTTCGTTCCAGACATTATTTCAAGTTTTTTATATGGATTAACAAATCAATTGCTATGAGATAGCATTTTATTGTCCTCACCTTATATCTAAGGAATTGAGGCACAGAGATAACATGCCCAAATGTCAAGTTAATAGTGACTGGTTAAAAACGGTCTGGCTCCAAGTCCATGTTTTTAACCACTAGGCAAAGAAGGATGCACAAATACATGCCATATACTTATAGATTCTGGGAGGAGGGTAAGATTCAGGTAGAGGATTGTAGTTATCTGGTAGTTTTAAATTATTGACATGAATGTATAAACTTGCATAATTTAAAAAACTTTTATATCTCATAAACTTAGTCAAACCTTTTACTGGGCTTTCTGTAGAATCCTATTTCTTTAAGAAGGTCTTACTCTGTTGCCCAGGCTGGAGGGCAGTGGAATGATTATACTTCGCTGCAGCCTCAGTTCCCTGGGCTCAAGCAATACTCTCACCTTAGCCTCCCAGGTAGCTAGCCATCACACCTGGCTTTTTATTTATTTATTTTTTTTTGGTGCAGATGAGGTCTTGCTATATTGCCCAGGCTTGTCTAGAATTCCTGGTCTCAGCCAGGCGCAGTGGCTCACACCTGTAATCCCAGCACTTTAGGAGGCACATCCCAGCACAAGGTGAGCAGATCACTTGAGGTCAGGAGTTTAAGACCAGCCTGGCCAACACCATGAAACCCCGTTTCTACAAAAATTAGCCAGGGGTCGTGGCGGATGCCTATAGTCCCAGCTAGTTAGGAGGCTGAAGCAAGAGAATTAATTGCTTGCACCCGCGAGGCAGAGGTTGCAGTGAGCTGAGATCACACCACTGCACTCCAGCCTGGGTGACAGAGCAAGACTCCATCTCAAAACTAAATAAATAAATAAAAGAATTCCTGGCCTCAAGTCATCCTCCCACCTCAACCTCCCAAAGCAGAATTATATTTGATTACCACCAGACACACATCTGCACTTGCTCAAATGAATGGGATCCCCGTGGTGGGATAAACATAGCAAATGATAGCATTTGGAGAAAAAGAAGGGGTAGATAATTATTCTTGACAGGTCATGACAGATATGAGCTCTATCTTGCCACCAATAAGTTTCAAGACCTATCCTAGACTTGTTTTAGTATGGTTGCTGGTCTTTAGGTCCCATTTTAACTTCAAATATGGCTGTGTCCCCTCATAGCTTAAGTTAATTCGTGGTACTAAAAAATTCACAAGGTTAAGATGAAAGTAAGCGGTGAAAGTTCAGAATGGAGTGAGACAAACAGTAACTGACCAGTTACTCTCATAGTATGGCAACCGCAGCCACACATAATACTATTACTACAAATAGCTTTCATTAATAATGTTTTATTACAGTTTTTATTTCTTACCCATTAAACAAGTTTTTTCCATCTTCTTCCATATTATTCCACAGTCATTGGTTAGGTTTCCTCTTCTCTATTACCTACAAGTGGGAAACCATCTGTAAGGCTGGGCTAATACACGGCAAGAAAAAAGCAATTTCATGAATCGTAATTACAAATTCAAAAAAGGACCAGTATATTACAATGCATTAAACTCCCGACAAGTCCTTAAAACTGATGTAAGAGTGAAAAAAACTGTGATCTTTCTTTTTAGCTAAGAGTAACCAAAGAGTCAGTCACTTATGGGTAGACTGATCAATGGAAGTATTAAAGGTTTACTTCCTGAAAAACGCACTTCTGCATTTGTTTTAGGTCTTAAAAATTACACATTATATTTGCATACAATCTGAAACTCAGAAAAGAAACACACAAATTCATAGTAACAAAAATACCTGAATATCAAAAGCTAAAATTATTTCAGCATAAATGAAATATAAAATAACAAGATGGCATGAGGTGACTCTTTTGTGCTAAGTGGGTTTATGACCTATATGTAAGCGGCATGCTTCTTTAAAAGCGGTATATATTCTGCACACAAGGACAATATATTAGCCAAAGACATCTAGAGTTTATGATTTGGACAAATTACATGTATAAGCATGTTTAAGGTTTCTGACACTTTTTCAGGAAGCAGGACTCAGTATTAAGCTTGAGATCGGCAAGCTGGGCCACCACTGTAAGAGGAAAGAAGATTCTCTATTGTGTCACCCTAACAGCTAACACAGATTTCCTCTTGGAAGAAACTTTAAGAAAATATGTTCCCGGCCAGGCGCCCGCCGCCCCGTCTGGGAAGTGAGGAGCGCCTCTGTGCGCCTGCTACGCAACCCTCCAAGTGTGAAGTGACAGCCTTATGTGTTATCTTTCTGCCCTTAACAAGTTTGCATTATTGACATTAAAATTTACTTTTTAATTAAAAGTTTTATAATTGGAGAATATATATATATTTTTTTTTAAAAAAAGAAAAAAGACAATATGTTCCCGGCTGGGTGCGGTGGCTCATGTCTGTAATCCCAGAACTTTCGGAGGCCAAGACGGGCGGATCATGAGGTCAGGAGATCAAGACAATCCAGGCTAACATCTTGAAACCCAGTCTCTACTAAAAATAAAAAAAAAAAAAAAAAAAAAAATTAGCAGGGCATGGCGGCAGGCACCTGTGGTCCCAGCTACTCAGGAGGCTGAGGCAAGAGAATGGTGTGAATCCGGGAGGCGGAGCTTGCAGTGAGCTGAGATCGTGCCACTGCACTCCAGCCTGGGCGGCAGAGTGAGGTCCATCTCAAAAAAAAAAAAAAAAAAGAAAAGAAAATATGTTCCCATAATATGGGCTCCCATCACTCATGTACAGTTCCCTTGGAGTAGGTGGTTTGCTGCAGAGTGGCTGGCTGTCAAGATCCTAGAATGGTTGTCAAGAAAGGGAAATTGCTCTGCATTAGACAGGGAAGAATTGGGTTTTATATCACTGAAAGGAATGGGGAGAAGAATGAGGAGGAGAGGGAAAGAATAAGAAGAAAAGAGTTAGTATAATGGAGCAGAGCTGGGATTAGGTGGGGGTGAAGCTCTTGGGTCAAGGGAGGTCTGAAAACATTTTAAGAACAGGAATGTTTTACTAGGGAAGTTGTTTGCATTAATGCAAAGTAAGGCTCACTCCACCTCTATTTTGCCCCTTTCTTCAGGTAGGTACACAAAATCTGCAAATGCCCTGTGTGAATAGTGCCTTTCTGAAAATCAAAGAGGGAGCCAAGTTTCACATGTGGGTGCACTATGGTGCAAATCAGTGGCATGAGGCCAGAAAGTAGGTCCCAGGAAGCATAAGAGGTTACAAGTTCATGAAACCCAGCAAATAAATATTTTTAGGGAAAGCTTACAACTTCTAGTTCTGGGTTGGGGGTTCTGAGGCAACCATATCCATGAAAAGCTAAGCTGACACTTTATGGATAGGGGTTTCACATCCATAAAATGTCCCTCAAATGACCCTACTTTCAATATAAGAACACCAAAAAATTTAAATTTAACTTAATTACATTTAAAACCAAGTTATTCCAATTAATTTGGGATGCTCCCCCAAAGCTGCCTATAATAATCAGTTCCATACCAAGTAGCACCTAGGATATGTACGTAACCATATGGAGTTTAGGCTTAAAGCCCTAGGAAAGTTATATTAATAAATGTGAAGATTAGCAACTTCAATAATTACGATGGTGATCTTGAACACTGGGAAATTATAATAAATCAGCTCAATGCTGAAAACTATTAATAAGATTCCACAGTTCAAATATTTTCTATCCAGGTCCCACTTGTATCATTTACACTACTGCAATATACTTTTAAATGGGTGGGAAGTGAAATTACAGACATATAAAACAAATCACTACAGTAGGAACTAACTAAAAATGTGGATGACATCCCTTTAAACGGTCATTAGAAAGGAAGTTCCCAAAGTCAGGAGGCCATATTCCAAGCTTACCTGTTACTGAAACATGCTGAATTCTCAGGGGCTGTCTGGCTCATGCAAGAAAAGAGCACATGATGTGGAGTAACTGAGACCAGTCATCATCATGGTGTCCATTTATTAAAACACCTTCCTTAACTTTTCCGAGCCTGTTTTCTAATCTACTTCACAGCACTGGTGTAAGGAATAAATGAGAACGCAAGTAAAAAACCAGTGTACCGCCTGGCGTATAGCTGATGATCAACAAAGGTTTAATTCCCTTCCTTTATCTACCTTTGGTTTAAAGCAATTTTCAGGGCTTGAAAAGGAGAAAATCCATTCTTGAAACCTTACCCAATTTACTCTTATTCTGCCAAATAATAACAATGATGATGATGGTGATGATTATTATTATAGCCAGCAACACTGATAATGGTGTTTAATGTGTGCCAGAAACACAGTTAAGTGCTGTTACATATATTAACAAATTCAATCCTCACAACATCCTTGTGAGGTAGATATTTTTATTCCAATTTTACAGATGAGGAAACTGTGGCATACATAAGTTCCACAGCTAACAAGTGGCAAGGCAAGGATTCAAACCCAGGTTTCTGCTCTTTAGAAATATAACAGGCTGCGAGCAGTGGCTTACGTCTGCAATCCCAGCACTTTGGAAGGCCAAGACAGGAGGATTACTTGAGCCCAGGAGCTTGAGACCAGCCTAGGCAACACAGGGAGACCCTACCTCTACAAAAAATAATTTGCTGTGTGTTTTGGCACAAGTCTGTAGTCCCAGCTACTTGGGAGGCTAAGACAGGAAGATCACTTGAGACCAGGAGGTCAAGGCTGCAGTGAGTTGTGTGTGATTGTACCACTGCACTCCACCCTGAGTGACAGAGCGACACCTTGTCAAAAGACAGAAAGACAGAAAGAGAGACAGAAAGACAGAAAGACAGAAAGAGAAAGAAAGAAAGAAAGAAAGAAAGAAAGAAAGAAAGGAAGGAAGGAAGGAAGGAAGGAAGGAAGGAAGGAAGGAAGGAAGGAAGGAAGGAAGAAAGGAGGGAGGGAGGGAGGGAGGGAAGGAGGGAGGGAAGGAGGGGAGGGAGGGAAGGGGGGGAGGGAGGAAGGGAAGGAGAGGGGCAGGGAGGGAGGGAGGAACGAAGGAAGGAAAGAAGGCAGGCAGGCAGGCAGGCAGGCAGGCAGGCGGGAGGCAGGCACCAAAAACTAACTTCTGGGTGACATCACAGCAGCAATGCCCTTTCTTTGATAGCTCTCTAATATTAATGTAGTAAGGTATGGAATGTTCAGATGACTTACCAAGTAGAATAGACCTGTTATCTTAAAAATACACATAAATATACTATCTATATATATTTTAAGATTTAGTTATATATTTTAAAATATTTTAAGATATAGTTATATATCTTAAAATATTTTATGATATAGTTATATATCTTATTTTATGATATAGTTATATATTTTAAAATATATTTTATATCTAAAAATATTTTAATGTATATTTTATATGTTTTAAAGTTTAAAAAGTGGACCAAGAGAATATTAATAACGTTTAAGTCAGTAAATAAACTTAACCAAGATTACACCTTTTTCAGCAAGCTCAATAACGTGGCACATTCCAAACTACAAACATTTATTAACCTATGCTGTATCTCATCTGTAAGTGCCTTGCCCTGTAAGCTCCTGGAGGACAGAAATAGCATCGTGTCTTACTTATTGTGATAGTAATACCTTTGATGTCTGAAAAAGTGCCTTGTCCTTAGTAGGTGCTTCAGTACATACTGACCAAAGAATGGAGAGGCTGGATACGAAACACAGACAAAATTTTCTAGTCTGCCTATTATTTCCCTTTACATTCTAAGGCACTAGCACACTATACTTATTTTCCACTACCCACACACTCCATAATTTTACTAATAGCAAGGCCTTGATGGATTTAAGTGTTTTCCTTGACCCAGTCACATTTTTGGCCTATCCAAATCCATTTCTTTTTTTTTTTTTTTGAGACGGAGTCTCACTCTTTCGCCCAGGCTGGAGTGTAGTGGCACCATCTTGGCTCATTGCAACCTCCGCCTCCCGGGTTCAAGTGATTCTCCTGCCTTAGCCTCCTGAGTAGCTGGGATTACAGGCACGTGCCACCACACCTGGCTAATTTTTGTATTTTCAGTAGAGATGGGGTTTCACCATATTGGTCAGGCTGTTCTCAAACTTCTGACCTCGTGATCTACCCCATCTCAGCCTCCCAAAGTGCTGGGATTACAGGTGTGAGCCACCACACTCAGCCCCAAATCTATTTCAATCTATAAGCTCACATAGCAAAATGTCTTACAACAAAAAGTCTCTAATATACAATTAGAAGATTCATGAATGAAAGCAAAACATACTATTATGTCACTTATGTGTTTCAAAGTGCTTCCACGCATATTCCCTCGGTGCCTCAAGACAGCCGTTGAGAGTAGGCAAGGCAGTCTATAATAATCTAGGAAGTTGCATCTAATCCTGTTTTGGAGTGGAAACATATCCTCATTGTCACTGCCAATGAATCAATGGCTCAAAACCTGAATTAGATACTTTCTCTGCATTGTGGTACAAAGTCTATAAGAATAACATATTTTTAAGTCAATGTCATAAATGACTTTTTAAATCATAAATGATCAACCATCTAATTGAACTTTTTTTTTTTCTTAAATTAAGACAGAGCTTTGCTCTGTCACCCAGGCTGGAGTACAGTGGCACGATCTCGGCTCACTGCAGCCTCCGCCTCCTGGGTTCAAGTGATTCTTCTGCCTCAGCCTCCCAAGTAGCTGGGACTACAGGTGCGTTAAACACCTGATTAATTTTTGTATTTTTAGTAAAGAGGGGGTTCACCATGTTGGCCAGGATGGTCTCGAACTCCTGACCTCGTGATCCGCCAGCCTCGGCCTCTGAAAGTTTTGAGATTACAGGCGTGAGCCACTGCAACCAGCCGTAATTGAAGTTAAAACAGCCCAAACGCCTTGGAAGACACAAGGCAGAGGAAATTCACACAACTAAATAAAGAAAAAATTTACATGCATTTACAGTTAAATAAAGAAAACTTTAAAATTTTAAGGAGACCACAATCAGCAATTACAATTAAATCTCTCTTGGCTGCTAAATTAGGAAGCCCAGTACAGGATAGCAGGAAGAGAACTAAACTAGGTATCAGGAAGCCTGGGTTTTAGTCCACACTCTGCCACTGATTAATTATGTTATCTCCAGTCCCACTCAAATTTAAAATTCTAAAATTTTGTACATATTGCCCAGAGTAAATAAGAAACATATAACATTTTACATTTCAGTGCACCACACAGAAAGCATGAAAAAAAGGTTCAAGATCTGCTGACTTTACTAAGATTCAAAAGTATTAGTTTGCCATGGGTTTTGTCCATTTATGGCTCTCAATAATGGTTTAAGTTCAAGCTCAAGGCCTCTGCACAGAAACTGTAAAACAGAGATTTTTGAATTATTGTGAAATACAAAGGGTAGAAGGATTGCATTTACACATTTTGACTATGATTCAGAATAATCTAGGTGGTAATAGTGCTGTTCATTTGCCACATGAATTGACTTCTTAGAAGCTATTTATTAAAATGCTTCCTCACCATTAAACAGAAATGCAGTCCACAAAGCTGTATTTACAGTATACATGGAATGGTAATCTAGACTGTGAGATTCCTGGGAGGAAGGATTATTTATCATCCATTATTGTGTCCTGTTGACATAGCATAGTACATAGTACAAAGGACATACTAACATATACTGCTGGTCAAATGAATCACTGATAGGGGATCCCGGGGTTTTTTTTTTTTTTGAGACAATCTCACTCTGTTGCCCAGGCTGGAGGGTAGTGGCATGATCTTAGCTCACTGCAACCTCTGCCTCCCAGGTAAGCAATTTGCATGCTTCAGCCTCCCAAGTAGCTGGGATTACAGGTTCGCGCCACCACATCCAGGTAATTTTTGTATTTTTAGTAGAGACAGGGTTTCACCATGTTGTCCAGGTTGGTCTTGAACTCCTGGCCTCAAGTGATCTGCCCAGGCCTACAAAAGTGCTGGGATTATAGATGTGGGCCACCACCATGCTGGGCTGAGGATCCCATTTTTTACATTTATCTTAAATTTTACTTCCTAGGCAATATGCTGCCTAACATTTATAAAATACTTTTTTTTACAGACAGGGTCTCACTATGTTGCCCAGGCTGGTCTTGAACTCCAGACTCCAGGGTGCAAGCGACCCTACCACCTCAGCCTCCCAAGTAGCTGGGACTACAGGCATGTGCCACCCTGCCCAGCTCTTAAGTACCTATTTTCATTAAAAACTTCATGTGATATTTACCACTGCTAATGGTAATTTTATCATCTCTCCACACATATATTTTTGTATTAGAAAAAAAATTATCATATTGTTTTAGCTTGCTTCTTTTTTTTTTTTTTTTTTTTTTTTTGAGACGGAGTCTTGCTCTTGTTGCCAAAGCTGGAATGCAATGGCATGATCTCAGCTCACTGCAACCTCTACCTCCTGGGTTTAAGCGATTCTCCTGCCTTAGCCTCCCAAGTAGCTGGATTACAGGTACCTGCCACCACACCCGGCTAATTTTTGTATTTTTAGTAGAGACAGGGTTTTGCCACGTTGGCCAGGCTGGTCTCAAACTCCTGACCTCGTGATCCACCCGCCTCGGCCTCCCAAAGTGCTGGGATTACAGGCGTAAGCCATCACGCCTGGCCGTTTTAGCTGTCTTAAATAAAAACAATTTGGGATCATTACAATGATACATAAAAGATCCAGAGTCTGACTGAAAGATGGCCAGGCCCCACATCATAAATTTCCTTCTCTAAATGGCTGTATGATGACTAGGATCAAAATGGCTTTAGGAATCCACTTGCCCTGTTGATTGTCTTCCATATGTAATAAGATACTAGATGGATCTGTTAATGTGTAAGGGATATATGAGCACGAAAGATTGAAAAAGCCTTAGATTTAGAATGAGATGGCTTCAGTTTAAGGTCCAGGTTATCTACTTATTACCAGTGTG